ACTGCTGTTCTTGCTGTTCTAGCCTATCAGCATATCGTTGTCATGGAGATGACAGTCCACTTAGATGTGCTGACCAAAAGACACAGTGGAAAAAAAATAAAGGAAGTCAGCTTTCCTTCATGCATCAGCTCTTGGTTCATAAATAGGCAGCTCGCGGGCCACAAACGGTCTGCGGGCCTTTGTTTGAAAGCCACAGTTCTAAGGTACTACTTTGAACAGCTGAATACTGGAACAGAGAGTCATTTTAATAAACACTAGGGGTCAGCCAGTCAGAGGTTTGAGAGCCCCTGTCAGAAGAACCTTCAGAACACACAACAAGCCGTCAGGTGGCTCTGAAGAAGCCCACATTCACACCTCCACTCAGGTGAAACCAACACCCTGTAAGTGGGTCAGGAGGGGAATTGACCTGCATAGTTTCACAGGCTGTAACGGCTCTCCATTCAGGTATCCAGCCCTGCAGTAAACACCTGAAGTGAAGAAACAGTCCAACCAGGAACTACACCTCAGAGGATCTGCACCTGGTCCAACTCTGAAATGTCTGATTCCCACCAAGAATTTTAAAAAACTATGTGACAGTAAGTTAAAAATTTTAAAAAAACTATGTGACGGTAAGTTAAAAAAAAAAAAAAAGTGATCCTGGAATTGAGTCTCTGACATTCTAGTGGGAACATGACCATGTCCACTAACCCCCTCCACTCAGACCATCATCTTCACACCTGTAATTTCCAACATATCCTCAAATTTAATGTTAAATGACATTATTAAATATAACTGCTTGCTGCCTGTTGCGGTGACCCCTGCTGGCAGCAGTCACTATTTGTCACTATTTGAGTATCTGCTCGATGACCAAAATCAATATATGATGATTCTGTTAAAATTATATTTTATTTAGTTATAACCAAACCGCATTTTATTTAAAAAAAAATCACATTTATATTAACTAATATGAAAAAGATGAAAAGGCTGAAACTGATTTTTAATCTAATCTTTTTCCTCCATTTGTCATCGACTCTCTGTGAGCTCCTGTTTTGGATCCACACACTGCGTCTGTACGAACAGACGTACACACAAAACTGCATATTGAGATGAAGCTGCTGTGATCAAAATGACTAATGGTGTGTAACATACACACACAACACAAACTACAGACATCATTTAAATTATAATTTCTCTTTTTATTAGTCCAATAAATATATGCTGTATTTTTCCGTAGTGTAAATTCAACAGCCTGAAGGATTTATGGGTTAAAACTGTGCAGTTTACTGTCAGCGGGACAGACTTGACGAGACCATTTAAACACAAATAAACAGCTATGGCTCTTGTTATAATGAAAGCAGAATGTAAAGGATATAGAACGCATGCAGTGGTTTTAAGGGGCTAGCTCCTGGTGGGTGGTCTACAGATGGGAACTAATTCAACTAAATATACAGCAGGCCAGAAGACAGATGAAAATGAAAAAGATGTTAGTGGTCCTGCCAAAAACCACACCAGCTACTTCAAACTTTAGCCTCTGTGTCGCCTCAGTTTTACCCTCAGTTGACCTAAAATACAGAAAATCAACTAGAGCTAACACAAGGAATACAAGATAGCTCTAAAAAAAATCAAACTTAAAATTAGAGCTTTCACATTTAAAGTTAGCACACATATAGCCAGAAGTTAGCTTCTATAGGTTAGTCACTGTTTAATCCTGGGGGAAACTGGGCTAACCAAAGTCAAAAGTTAGCCTAGAAACACTTAAAACAAATGGCTAGTCCATAAATAGCTCAAAGCTAGCCCAGATATAGCTTATAGATTAAAATATAATGAATGAATGAATGTTAGCCAAACATCAAAGTGAACGTAGACACAGCTAAACCAATGTGTAGACATCATTAAGGCAGATTTAGCTAAAGTAAACATAGCTAAACATTAGCCAACATACACCCAAACTTATTTTTAACAGGAAGAACATCTTAGTAGAGATGTTTACTTTCCATCCTGATGTTTTTCTTTTCTTCCTGAACTCAAAAATATCAAGTAACGTCTGGGTGAACAACAAGTAGATCAGCTGACATGTCGAGCATATCAGCAACAACATGAATCACACACACACACACTGAGCCTGCCCTCACTCACACATCAACAGTCACATGACCATTGGCTGAATGTGTTTGTCACATCATACAACTGGTCAACAAACCACGACCACAGGCTCTGTCAGTCTACAGACTGGACCCAGACTGGATCTGGACCACTTTTTTAGGTACACCTTAAATCAATATAGAGCTACAAACTGCAGGATCACAGTTTATCGAAGCATGTAGACATTTCCTGGATAACCTGCTGAAGGTCACAAGTATCTGAAAAATGTCAGAGGAGAAAAAACAGCTCAAACCCCTGAGGGTAACATTCAGATCTGGAACACAGAGCAGCAGGTGAACTGAGGCCACGGTGTCTGTGAGAAAACATGAACATTCCTTACTGATCTATCATTACCAAACATTTCTGATGTTATTATTATTATATGATTTTACTCTCCTAATCCTAATCTGCCCCCCCTCCCGCTCCCTGCTGTATAATCTGGGTCATTCCTGTGGACTAAAATAACCCACTTTGGCCTTGAACGGCTCCACTCTGACATTACCACAAAAACCACAAGTGAGTTAAACAATGTAGAGTAGTGTCTTTCAATGGTCTTTACCGCCCTCTACTGGATTTCTTAAACACACACACACACAATTAAAAGGGGCCATTGTCCAACTGTTGTGACTTCATGTTTGACAACAAGTAGAATTTAGAATATTTTAGCAAAGTTCTAGCTGCAGATACTGGAGTCTCCTCAGCACCAGGTCCGTACACTGACTGTTAACAGCAGGCTGGTGTTAGCCAGTGCGTTAGCCAGTGTGTTAGCCAGTGTGTTAGCCAGTGTGTTAGCCAGTGTGTTAGCGACGCAGACGAGGCCTGTAAACTTCCCCTAATAACACTCCACACACTTCACAGTCGAAGGCGGCACATTGCAGATTCCCTTTCATCTCAGCAGTGCCTCAGAGACAGGAGTGAGGGTTGTAGCCAAAGGAGGGGCAGCAGTGCAGACGGAGGGGCGGGAGGGGGGTGGGGGGCATCTCTCATTTTTGCCCCAGGGGTGTGGGTGCTACTGCTGCTGCTGCTGCTGCAGTGGCGGCGGAGGCGGCGGCGGTGCTTTCTTTTGTTTGAAGACTGATTAAGAAAGAGCGTGACTAAAGAAGGCGAATATGAATGGTGCGTGCCGACAAAAGCTGCCATTGTCTGACATGCAGGAAAACACAGAGGGGGGACGGGGGGGACGGGACGGGGGGGACAACCCAGAGGACAGGTACTACAAAGACCTGATGAGTGTTGACTATAAGAAAAGCACGGAAAACATACTCTGATACAGTTGTTCTGGAACTTCAACACCTCCGACCACTGCCAGAAATACTGCGCTCAACCCTGCAAGTACTGCCCAGATTAAAGTACTGCAGTGCAGCTTTACCATGTTCAGCCAAGTACAGTACATGGAGTAGATCATACTATATACTCCTAATAACAATATGACTTGACAGCCAGTGTGACTGTACAATGAAGCATCACTACAACTGGAACATCAATCAATCTGAAATAGTATTTGACAGCTTTTGACTTAGTACAACTGAGGGTACGCAAACCATTGTTTGAGAACCACTGTCGACTTAAATGTATATATTAAAGTGTAATATGTTTCACCATCACATCTGAAATAAAACTACATGATACCAGCTTTACAATACCAACATCACATAATCTCCTGAAAAAAACATTTTCATTACAAGTACATGAACCTGAGCCATAACTTCAAAACACATAAAAGTATTCACTGGAGTACTGGGCATTTTCATTGGTCCATGTTTTGACCATAAAGGGGGAACTAATGTAGGGGTGGGCAATAAAGCCTGGTATGAAAGGAGTCTCAGAGTCAAAGACTGGGGTAGGAGTAGGATTAGACATAAGGCTGCCCTCTGCTGGTAACTAGTAGTATATTCACGTTTACTATACAAGACAATATATTATAAAAATGACCATTCGATAGCGTTAGCAAATTGACACATAAACATACATATAAATATATTTATACATATAAACTTATATACAGTATACATATATACACATATATAAAAACACATACTGTATATACATAATACACACTCGATTGTGTGAGTGTAGTTTCTGACAGTGTTTGTGTAGTGTGGATCAGCGTCGGTGCCTCTGTTGTCAGCGTGAGATCACGTGAGAGTGGAACGTTCTCCTGTTCTTACCTCTTGACCTCCAGGGGTCAGCAGGTCTTCAGGAATGTGTTGGTGGAGACAATCTTCTTCAACACTTGTTCTTTACTGGCTGTTGCTGAGCTCCCGCAGTTTCAAACCTAAATTAGGAACAGAAAAAAAAAAAAAGGTTCAAGGACCAGAGAACGTCAGTGGACTCATACAGAAGAGCAGTGATTATCAACTGGCGGCCTGCGGGCTAAATCCAGCCCGCAGAAACCATCCAAATCTGCCCATGACTGGATTCTAAAATAAACCTTAAACTAATAAAAAAAGAGATTTTTATTTCATTTTGTTCGAGTGACCGGCCCTCAAGGTGTCTGTCCAGTAATCAGAAATTATTGGTGCCTGTTCAACATGCCACAGCAGTGGCTGAATTTGATAAGCAGGCCTATCTGACCACTGGTACAGACTGGTCAACATGTAAATGTCTAACTGCCTCTACATCCCCCCCAACACACACGCTCCCCAGGATCAGGGCAGTTAATCCAGTTTCCTTCTAACACACAGCCTTTCTCTGCTCACAGATCAAGTGATTACCTCTGATTACGTCGGAGCTTTGACCTGACATTAAACTAAGACGTCTCTAGGAAGACGGAGGAGCAACACACACACCTCTACACACACACTTCTACACACAAACTAGTATTAAAATCTCAGATGGTCAGGGCAGACGATTGTTTCGGAGACCTTTACAGCCTGGGGTTTGCACCAATCAACACTTTCAGCGGGTAATGAGGAAGTAGGAAAGGACTTTGCTCAGGTCGTGTCCAAGTCTTGTGATGTAGCATCTGACTGCCACAGGGAGCGGACACTGAGCGGCACCACAGAGGTAACCACTGGATTTAAATGTCATTTCTGTCTGGAAAATCCCTTAGAACATCCACAGGTATGAGCAAGGATTAGAATCAGTGAAAAACGTCAGATTCCTGGATGAAAATGAAAATGCATTGGTTCAGATCTGCACACTGGGCAAAGTTTTGTTTTTTTTCATTCGTTCTTTTATGATTTTGTTTTATTTTTATCATTAAGTGGTCGATGCCACAGATTATTGTTGGCTCGTGGATCTGTTACTGAACAGACCTGTCTTTTCCCAGGCTTTTGTGCAGGATGTTGTTAATATTTGACATTAAGGACTGGCAACGTTTACAAAAGTCATAAATGTCTGAGTCACAGCAGATTATCTGAAAAGATTATGAAAGTGAAGGTGTCTTTTTTTTAATTATTAATGCAACACTCTCACTGAATTGTTTTTGCTAAAAGACATAAGAATACATTAAGGTGTTACAATAACAGATATTTCCAGATGTTCTCGTCATTGTCTGTTTTCCATCTTCTCTTTGGGCTTCATCTTCTTTTTCCTCCCTTTACTCGCAGCTCTCTTCCTCTTTTTCCTGCTGCTGCCCTCAGAGGTCAAAGGTCAGTGGATCAGCCTCCACCTCACTCTCTCTCCGTCGTCTTCTACTCTTACACCGTCCACTTTCATCTGCCCCTCGACTAAAACCACCTCAATCTCCTCTCACACGTTCAATTGTCCTCTGAACTCACAGTGATTTGGAATCTGGGCTTTAAAAGTCACTAAACATGGACTGGAAGATCAACCTGAGGAGAACCCAGTCCCTGAAGAGTGTCTCCTCAAAAGAGGACAAGCCCACGTGGACAGACGCGGGACAGCTGAATAAAAAAGTCTCCGTGTCTCAGCTGGTTTCCCGGTGAATAAAAATCCACCTCTCCATAGTTTTGCCCAATTTTTAAATGGCTTCAACTTGACATTGAAAATACGGTTTGTGGCCCTGACAGGTACCAGACCACAGTGGAGCAGAACTGTCCAGCTCCAGCTGCTCCTGTAGTCAACGGTGAGGTCAAACCAAAGCGAGCGCTCAGAGAGGTAAGGCGGTTCTTTAGATCACAGCTCAGAGACAAAGAAAAAAAAACCCCACTGAGTCCACGTCCTCTGTCTCAGATCCCACCGTCTCCACAGGAGACCAGAGAACTTCCTCTGGTCTCTCCGACCAGAGGACATGACGACATCGAGCGATCCTCGCCAAAACCCACGTTATCTCGTGCCAAGTCGGTGGGGAGCCTTCAAAACAGCCCCAGCTCCATCCAGGACCTGAAGGCTCGGTTTGAGTCGCGTTCTGTGACACAGAGCAGAGCTGACGATGTTACAGCAGTGATGAACGGACAGGTGGAGGAGAACAGACGCTCTGCAGAGATACAGAAGAAACGAGCGCCCGCTGATGCAGCAGGGAGAGGCGCTAAAAGTGACGTCAAAGAGCAGCATGTGACTCAGAAGGTGAATAAAAAAAAATTCACAGTGCAGTTCTGTTGAAGAGAAACTAGAATGAAACTTAAATGTCAAATCCTTCAAAATGTTCAAAAAAAGGAGAAGATATTTTTATTAACAGGTTTCTGATGAAGTTTGGGTAAGAAGGAGAAGATATTTAGCTGGACACTAACAGGTTTCTGATGAAGTTTGGGTAAAAGTTTGCTCAAATGTTAAACGTGTTCATCATCATAACAAACCTCAACAACATTCAGGTTAAAACAGTTGAACACGCTTCACTGATATTCAAATATTATATTTTATATTAATTTTCAACTGCATTTTTCCAGGTTGTGACTAATCAAAGGTCAATGAGGAGAAAAACCATCGGAGGCATCGACTTTGAAGGAATCACATCGTCCTATGCAGGTGGCTACAGTTTCATTTTCTTTATCATCATCATCATCATCATCATCACTGATCACCATCAAAAAAGCTAATGAAATCAAGGTCAACTTTGATCAGGTCAATTTTAAGGCAAGAAATGTGTTTTGCCTGAACAGTTAAAACGAGAACGACTTTTTGTTTTGCCTGAACAGTTAAAACGAGAAAACATGACTCAGACCTTCAATTTCAAATAATTTGAATTTCCCTAAAAATGCCAGTTATTTTTAAAGTGAACAATGCAGGTCATAGAGATGAGTCTCCCTACGTCTTTGTAGCATCAGGTTTAAAGCACGGCAGTCAAACCTGGAAAAAAATGTCAAATACGCCTGAGATCATAAATCAGAAACGCGGGCATGAGCCGCGCTGCAGGGCATTTCCTGGAAAGCTGAGACGGTGTCAGTGAGCGACGCCTGTGACTCAGGTCCGGGCTGCCGAGCAGAGACCGAGGTCGTGGACGGCGGTGACTCTGCACACAGACATGATTGACTAAAACTGCTGCAGCTCTGAGCAGAGCTTCACTCCACTGCAGGCCAGGCCAGAATGGGACGGAAATAGACCTGCATACTACGAGACCTATTAAAAGCAGGAGGGCGGAAGGGGTCAGCTGTTACTGGGGCGGGAATGACACTCACACTTAGAGGGAGAGCGAGGGACAGAAGAAGAGACAGAGGGTGACAGAGGCTACTCGGTCAAACAACCCCACAGCAGCAGTGGAGACAACAGTTACTGCAGAACTACACACTTTAAATGGACTAAGAAGTCAAACCAGACCTGGAGTCTGTTCACCTGTGAGTATAGATCTGAAGTGTCAGTGAAGTGGCCGCTGTCTGTTTCAAAGGTCAGCTCCACGCTTGTGTTTTCTGTTGAGTCACAGCCTCAAACTTCAGATTTCCTGTTTTTAGCCACTAGACTTTACAGTATTTGGGTAAATGTATGGGTTTTTTTTTTTTTTTTGTTTCAAAACAGTGACTTTACAGTATTTGGGTAAATGTGTGGGTTGTTTTTTTTTTCGCTTTTGCGTTTTGAGTTTTACTGTCCTCCGCTTAGTCAACAGCTGTGGCCTGGCAGTGTCCTCTAAACTCCCAGTATGTGTGTCAGGGGAGTCAGGTATCTGTGCCATTAAGCCACCACTGGTACATTTTTAACTCCACCACATGGCAGCTGCTAAGTACCAGACAAGACAGAGAGGCCACCAGTGAGAACAAACACTGGTTCAAGGCTGGGGAAAAAAAATCATCACAAATCTGCTCATGTTTTAATGTGACCAAAGTATTTGTCAGCTCATCTTCAGCGTTCCTGCTCCTGACTTTGATCCCACATCACTGACTGCGGTGCTTTGTGTTGTTTATCTCCAGAGGAGAAGAGACGCACCATCGCAGATTTCAGAGAGAGCTCCTTGAACCTCACTAACGAAAAGCCAAGTGTCTCCGTCAAAGTGCTGTCTGCTCTGTACATGTCCATGGTGAAGCCTCAGGACTCCACACCGACAACGGTACGAGTGGAAACGTCCACGTCTTACAAACAGCAGGTTTCTGATGGGTCTGATCTGGTGATGGGTTAAATGCAGAGGTCACATTTCATTGTGTGCAGTGGTGTGTGTCACAATGTCACAATGACAAGTAGTTCACTTTCCTTTCCTTTCCTTCCTTCCTTCTCCTTTGTTGTTTGTAATGAGCTGAAGTTGTTGTTCTCACCATGTAGGCACAACATCCACCGACTGAAGCTGGAAAAAGAACTAAAGTGACCAAGGTAAAGTCAACATCTAATCATCATTTTGCATGGTGTTATTTTGAAGTTTCACATCATACGAAAACCATATCACTGTTCATAAAGTATCACATACATCATCACCTATTAATACAGGTTTTTCTCACTAAAAAGAAAAACGTACTCTGCATTATTTACGTCTTCGTGGTTGCGAGTGTGGTTGCATATTTTCTGGTTGCATTGGACTTTGGACTAACCCACGACACCTGGGACGTGGAAACAAATCAACAGGCATGATTTGGAAGGTAACACACAGTGTGGCCTGTGGTTGCATGTGTGAACACTAGAGGGCATGCTTTTCACTAGACAGCCCATATGTGATTAAAGGACAGAATGATGAGACCCAAACTTTCCTTTTCTAAGATGTCACAAGACTTAAAAGAAAGACATGATGACCTCACTCCACCACCACTGGCTAGAAATGAGGAAGAGCCAGAAGAGGAGCATTTCCCGAAACCAATGCTGGACCAACCTTCCATAGAGAAGTTACACCAGCAGCGGCAGAAATGTGAACTTAAGAGACTCCTGAAGCACACCCACCCCGAGCTGAAGATGCTGGATGAAGCTGTGGATGACGAGCTCGCTGAGGTTTTAGGCTCCCAGCCTGGGATGACAGGTGGTGACAAGGGCTACGAGGGAGAGGTCTTCTCCAGACGCTTGCTATTTGAGAACTGTGCGTTAAACACCAAAGAATCTGATTACAGTTCCAAGATGAACATGACAGATGGACTGGTGCACGAAGGTGATGTGAGTAAAAAATCTGCTCTGTTCGAGAGGCATGCAGAGAGTCCTTGTCAGGAACCTTGTCAAGAGATGGTGCACGGTGACAAATCACTTGGCCCGATTCCAGACCTTTATGGAGGGACCGAGGAGGAGATGGTAAGAATAGATGTTCAGGCGTCCAGGAGGATATTTGAGAGTCAGTCTGTAAAAACACAGAAGCCACAACCAGAGGACAGGTTCATAGGAAAAGCCTCTAAATTTAGGGCTGACAATGGACCAGTCAAAACACAGAAACACGACCTTGAGTCATCTGGTACCGACGCATTCTTCTCCAGTGACGAAGCCTTTGAAGATGACCTTGCAGGTCTTTCAGATTCGGGAGGATCTGCGGAAATGATTGCAACAAGTGCAGACATTTTCAGAAATAACCCATTTATCTCAGCAAATGTGGAGAAAGAAAATTCTCACGTGAATAAATCAAAGCCACAAATTCCAGCAGCAGATCCCAGCGGGACGTTTGAAGACCATGTGAAAACTAATGTCAAAAACAGAGCTCATCTGTTTGAATCAATGCCCTTTGACCAAATCAGGCACCAGAACAAGGACGACATTGAGACGATGGTGGAAAACATCAGGGAAACACTGAACACACTTCACGGCGTTAAAGCAATATCTTCAGATGGATTGATTATCGAGGTGAGCGAGACGATGATGGCAAAAAAGGCTAAATTCACACTACTGCAGAGTGGGCCTGAGATCGACTATGACGAGGTGGCTGAAGGAGGTGCACAAAACTTTATAGTCCACTTACTCCCCAGGTCCAACCTTAAGCCTCAGATTACGTACCTGAAGGAGGACAGGGAAGGAAACATGGACGCCACAGTCGTGGCTGTGCCTCTGCACCAGCATCACTTCACTAGTGGCCAGGAGTCGGAGTTTAAAACTGCTAATGTAGCTCAGGTGGTTGAGGATATTCTCCACCAGGATAACTCTCTGAGGAGAGGAGTGATCCTTCAGAAGGATGCTGACAACTGTGCAGAAGTCATTGTTTATTCTCTGTACAATTACTTTGATGAGAAGGATATTAAGAGATACACCGCCCTGGAGTATGACCAACCAGAGAGAGAGGAAATCCAAATAAGGAAAACAGAAACTCCAGAACTGAGAAAAGGAATCGTTGAATCCACAATAAACTGCCTTCTGGAAACTCCACAAGACCAGAGCTGCAGTGCATCACTCAGGCCTGAGATCACAGTTAAAGGTAATGTGAAGCTGTTCATGAGTTGCATTGAAAAGGGAGACCTGGATTATTTAAAATCTCTCCAGGCTGAAGCAGAAACACAGCAGGAACCAGAACTCCCAGTGGACCAGACTAAGGATGAGCAAAGTACACAGTTTGGTAATGAAGAGCAGGATAATCAGGCACAGGAGAGTCTCCAAGAGTGGGTCCCAGTGGATGTGAAGAGGTTGAGAAGCATGTTCTCTGCAGATCAAAAAGAAAATAATTCAAAACAAGTTATCAGAGAGAACTATGCTCAAACCTCCTCGATTTCTCATGCACATCGAGGAGGAAGTACGTTCTTGGGAAAAAGCCAGAGTTCTGCAGGATACAATGATACAACGATGTACATCCAACATCCTGGACACTTTGATTTTGACACGGTCCACCAAGCTGAGATGGTGCAGGTTGTCAATAATATTGATGAGATCACAAACCTCCAAACTGCGATCAATAACCTTCAACAGGTCACAATGGAGGCAAAAACGTTGCATCACGCATCCCAAAACAAAGAGGAACTACCTGTTCCAGAATTGTTGGCGGAACCGATGTTCTCTGAAGTTACAGACAAAGAAAATAAGAACCAGAAACACAAAGTTTGTCCTGTCAACAGCGATCAAGCAGAACCTGAAACTGTGGTTGATAGTCAGGAAGCACAGCAAGAACCATCAGAACAGGAGGAGGTCATTTTTGAAGGCAAATTCCAAAAAGCTCTGGAATCTTTGGAGAAATTTAACATTAATGTCACAAGAGGGGATTTTAAGACGGCTATGGTTTATACAACGTCTTCCAGACCTCAGAAGGAGGAGGAGAAGAAATCCTTCCAGGGACCTGGAGCTGCTGAGTTCTGCCCTGTTCTTGACGATGGAAAAAATCTAATCTGTTCCAACCAAGAAGACATGGCCTCCTCCAAAAATGTTATAGATGGTCCAGAGCAAAAACGTGAACCACGAGAAGAGGATGAAGTTAATTTCCAGCGTCAATTTCAGGAAGCGTTGGACTCTCTGGAAAAGTCTAACGTAAATGTGACAAGAGGAGATTTCAAAACAGCCATGATTTACAAAACGTCATCAAGAGATCATTTTGTTCAAAATCTGAGCTCCATGACTGACTCCAGATCAACTCAGAATTTTGGAACGAGTGCTGAAACTTTACAACAAAAACGTGAACCAGAGGAAGAAGTCAATTTTCAGGGTAAATTTCAAGAAGCTTTGGAATCCTTGCAGAAATCACATGTCAACGTGTCAAAAGGAGACTTCAAAACAGCTATGATCTACAAAGGCTCCTCCAGTCTTCACAGAGAGGAGGAGGCATCTTTTCTGGAGTCCAGTACTGGAGTCCAAAAGGAACCTGAAAATGTGGTTCAAGGTCCACAACACAAATGTGAACCAGAAGAGTTTATTTTCAAGGTAAACTTCAGGAGAGGAAGAGGATGAAGTTTATTTTCAAGGTAAACTTCAGGAGGCTTTGGATTCTTTAGGGAAATGCGACATTAATGTCACCAGGGGAGATTTCAAAACAGCTATGATCTACCAAAACTCCTCCAGACTCCAAAATGTGGAGAAAGAATTTGCTCAGAAACTGAACGTTGAAGGAACTGAATCCAGACCAAGTGATAACAAACCAACGCAACCGATTGAAGATCAACAGGAAGTTGTTGAAGTCCCACATCAACAACGTGAACAGGACGAGAATGAAGTTGTTTTTCACGGTAAACTTCAGGAAGCCATAGATTCCTTGGAGAAATCCAACATTAATGTCACGAGAGGAGATTTCAAAACTGCTATGATTTACAACAACTCTTCAAGACACAACAAGACGTCTGCCCAGACATCTGTCGGTGAGGAACTCAGCACTGTTACTGAACCTAAAGGAGAGCTTCAAAATCAACGTGGAACCCTAAAGAAACCAGCTACTGATGAGATCAAACCATCAAAACCAGTGATTCCACCTAAACCTGAGCATCTGAAGGCAAAACATGGCAAAAATCAGTCAGACGCCACACAGAAGCCCAATCTAAGAAACGTTTCATATCCTGAAAACATGATCCAACCTGAAGCAGAGATTGTAAACCAAGACTCACATGGTACAATCAACAACCAACGAGACGAAATAAACATCACAGCAGAAGTCAGAATCTCTGAGGAGGGCAGTATTAACGATGGTCCAGGTGAAACATCTGATACTCACATAGACTTTAGGGAAGCATGCCAAAAGTTTGGAGGTAAAACGGCAGTGAGGAATGCTCCTGTGAAGCCCAAACGTGTAAAAATAGCCCAACCTGAAATCGTAATTACAAAGGATGATGAAGTAGAGCAAGCTACCGCTGGTCCTCCACTTGGTGGAGCCGATACCCGTGGGCAAACAGCCAACAAAGTGGAGATGAGGGAGAAGAGAGGGCGCAGGGAAACCGAGGATGAGCGCAGACAGCGTCTGTCCGTTCACATGGACGAGATCATGAGAGGCAACATGACAACCGCCATGGAAATCATTGATAATATACGGAAGCAGGAGGAACTCCAGAACATCCTGAGCCGGGTGGAGGAAATTGAGAAGGACACGAGTGAAGCTGATGTGAGTTCAATGAGGAGTGTATTTGAGGAAGCTCCTGATTGGATCGTCGACTCTGAGAATCATAAAGAAAGAACAGCAACAGTGGAAAACAGGAAGGAGAAGCCGCTGGTTATGGATGAGCCACAGAGTAAGTCATCCATGGCCCACATCTTTGGTGATCTTGAAAGAGCCAGTGAGGAGATCATGAATCTAAAGGAGCAGACGTTGGCAAGATTAATGGATATAGAAGAATCCATAAAGAAGGCCCTGTTCTCCGTCTCAACGCTGAAATCGGAGTCAGATATCGCAGGTTTATCATGTTTGTTTAAGGAGTCCTTGGGTACAATTCAAGGCCCCCCGAATTATGGAAACATTAGTAAAATCAGTATTGGATCAAGTAAGACACAACAAGCTCAAGAAAGTCCGATCACAAAGGCCAACACTGCTGAGAAGGCTGCGATGTCTAAAAGACGTCGGCCCAGTCCACCATCTTCACCGGCCTTCATCTCCATACAGTCAGCTGTTCGAAAACAGGATAAAGCTGACGCGGCTCCTGCAGAGTGCACTCTGTGTCCGACATGTCAGAAAAGTCCGAAGTTGCAGGAGAAATTCCGCACGACCAAGATCTTGACCTGCAACAGTCCTGCTCAGACCAGAAAAGGAGGTCAGAAACAACCCAACGACGACCCACTCCAGCCGAAACGGGAGCTGAGTGTCCTGGAAGTGCAGACCGACCCAGACGGGAAGAGTGTCATAGGAACTAAAATGGTCACGGAAAACTTCGAGCACACCGACACGCTTGGAAACAAGTTTTATTCGTCCAAAAGCTCCACTGTTGTCACCACGCAGCCACAAAACACTCCGTCATTTGCAGGTCACGCGTTTGTCAGTCCTGCAGCGACATATCAGGTGACCTACCCCGAGGTTCGGCTGCCTGTCAATCACAAGCCTTAAGTCATTCACAGTCAGTCTCCTTTCATGAGAAATTCACCTTGTATATAGTTTTTTGGTGTCTATTATACAGCGTTGAGCTTTTTAATGTATTCACTCAAGTGTTGACCTTGTAGCACATGTTTGTCGTCGTTGGTGAGACCTCTGTTTGCCTTTTTCACACTTTTGACTAACATTTAAAATAAAATCTAAACTCGTGCTTTTCATTTGTCTTTTTTTTTTTTAAATAAATAAATCTTTATCTTTCATCATAATTTTTTTAAAATAAATAAATCTTTATCTTTCATCATCAGTTTCAACCCATCCGTCCAGAGATGTGCGTTGCCTGTCAGAAGCCGGTTTATCCGATGGAAAAAATAACCGCAGACAAATTAATTTTTCACAAGTTGTGCTTCGTTTGTAAACAGTGCAAGAAGAAGTTAAGGTGAGATGTGGCGACATTTAATACAAGAAAATCAGCAATTTCTTTCATTTTACAATATTTGTTGAATCAAAATAATCGTCAAAAATACGAAAATGAAATCAAAAATGAAATGAAGGTTGATCATTTTTTATATCTAATTCTAATTATCTTCCTCATGCATGCATTTTTACAAAATAATTACATTTACAGGATGGTGAATGAAATTAAATGAAGTATTTTCATGTAAGTTTAAACAAACACTAATCATAAATGTGATTTGAGTTTGTTTGTTTGTTTGTTTACTCCAATTGAACCTTTGTCAGTTTGTTTGTTCGATAGTTTGTTTGTTTGTTTGTTTACTCCAACCAAGTTACTTTATAATGTGATCAAATTCAATTCCAAACATTACACACATCGTGAGTTGTTTGTAACCAAACGACATTTCCACTCAAACACAATCATCAGCTGATGGAAACACGTGTGAGCTCCGGCTGCAGAGCCGACATTAGAGCATTAACTTCAGCTGTTTACTCACCATTTTGATGAACATCCGGCACCAAGTGCAGCATAAACTCCTGTTTCCTCCCAGACGGCTGCCCCTAGTGGTTCAAAGCAGCACTTTAATATCGGTACATTAATATCGTCGTTTTACAACCAAACAAATGTTCCTGTCAGCTGTGTTTTAGTTTTCATCCTGTCATGACGGGCTGAGGTCGGACTGAACTTTAACGACTCACTAACTCCCGCTAGTGGCACTCAGTGGCATTGACATTCTTTCACAATACAGTAAACCCTTGTTTTTCGCGGGGGTTACGTTCCAAAAAGAACCCGTGATAGGCAAAATCCGTGAAGTAGAAATCTTTATTTTTTTTACAATTAAATACTCAGAAAAAGAAGAGAAAGAACGAACAAACCATTTTACAGTCTCAACCATTTGTTTCACAAATAAAGTAAAATAAAAGTACTTTAGAAACGTTTCAACAAATAACTTCTGTAATGTACTGTCAAATAATAATTTTAATCATCAACGTGAACAGAAGGCTTCAAATTGCGGAGATTAGCACCGCCCACCGTGAACGGGAGAAAATTAAAAATGATTATGAAAAAAATACAAATTACCTGTACAGTCGGACAAATAGTGACTCAGCTTTATTTCACTGCTGTCTTCCTTATGTTTTTTTCTTCCTTCTTTATGGAACGAACGGAAGATTCATTAATTCCATAATGCCGACCTACAGCCGCATAGCTTTTACCTTCATTTAGCATGTCCAATAGTTTTACTTTATCACCGATAGACAGCATCTTCCGCTGCCTTTTGGTCCCTACCGCAGGTACTTTTGCCGGTCCAGAGCGTTTTGTCGACATTATGGGGTTTGATAAACTCGAAATTGCAAGAGAATTTGCACGTACGTAATGTCAATTTGGCAAGCTGTTTTACGTACGTGTACATATTAAACCGCAACGTTATTGGCGCACAGGTAGAGAAGAAGCGGAGTGACTTTTTAGCCAATCAGAATGCAGAAATCCGTGAAGTAGCGAAACCGTGAAAAGTAAACCGCGTTATAGCAAGGGGTCACTGTAATGTAAAACGTTCCATCTACAAACGTAAATAGAAACAAATCTATTACATGAACATTTATTTAGATCTTCTGGGGCTTATCTCAATAATTTAAAAATAAGATAAACTTATTTTAAAGCTTAAAATAATTAAAAAGATATAAAAAAATCGATTAAATTTATTTTTTTAAATGTTAAATTAAAGATATGATTTAGTCTTCAAATTGATAATATACTGTACATGTATATATAAAATATCCAAGAAGATATATATATATAATAGTGATTAAATTAAACATTTAGTTTCACTATCATTATTATTATTATTGTTGTTGTTACCTTCAGATTAACTGACTTGTCTGTGCTGTTGAAGCCCAGCTGGACTTCTAAGATTCTAAAGAACGGTCTGTTTTATTCACTCAATAGCATACAGAATTACACACCTTTCCACGGAGAATTCTACTGTGTATTTCACTCCAAACAACAGTTCAGAAAAAAGGGAAACAGTGATGAGGGATTTGGAGTCACTCAAAACAAGATCTGAAGAAAACCACAGAGCTGGAGCAGGATGATTCAGAGTGAATTTCCAGTGTTAATGTGAGTAACAACAGACATAGACATTTCTCAGCCACTATTTTATTCTTTTAAATCAGAAGAACGATCGTCATCGTGTTTGTGTCCACAGCTGGTGACTGTGAGGACATGAAGGACTGGACAGATGTCTGAGGCACCAGTTAAAGACACCTTTATTTTTTTTATTTTTCAAATTTTAAAATATCAAAAAACAATATATTTTAAGAATTTGTTATTTTTCTGAAAATTAATTTACAAGATCAACAATATTTGAATATTTACATCACTGCAACTCATTTAGAAAATAAATAAAACATGTTATGATATAAATGAAAATAAATACATATACACTGTACTAAATCTAATTCTGGGCATGATTTGTATTTTGTGACAAAAGTAATTTTAATGATACTTTAATGCTTACTTATTATTTTAATGTGTGAAAATTGTTTCCTAAACTGATGATACTAATTAGTAAATATCTGTTGTAAAAACTGACATATGTACTGTAGTACCTGAGGTCAGAGAAGTACAGACGACTCATTCATGAGAAAAGGCTGTAAAAAATATCTCAAAATGTCTGATTTCAATAAACTTTGATTAAGTGGTCGATTAATTCACCGTACAAACTGTTACTGTCCAGTGAATGTCGACCAAAAGGATGAAGAAGTGAAGAACTGGACTGAAGTCGGAGTTTATAGAAATATTACTGAGAGAAAATGTTGATGAAACACAGATGTAAAAGTCCAAACTACAAACAACATTTGTTTATTGTATACAGAACACCATCATTTAGAATCAAAATAACTGGTAAATAATCATTTAGTATTTTTATCTGACAGACATTTCACGTCCAATTGTTTTTTAAAATATTAGTTTTGCCTGATTCAAATAAACGTTAGGAAAAAGTATTTCAATCAGTACAAGCATGATGTTTTAGTATCATACACACACACACACACATACACACATGTTATGGCAGGACAGTTAAATGTGAAGCAGGTATTTTTGTGTGGTATTATTTACATTTATGCATTGAGCAGGCACTTTTATGCAAAGCAACTTACGTCATATATATACATATATATAGTATGCAGTTCCTCTAGGAATCGAACCCAGGACTCTCTGCTCCAGAGGCAGGCATGCTAACCGCTACATAATAATAATAATAATAATAATAATAATAAATAATTGTTATTATTATTTTTTATAATACATATCAGTAATTAGCAATTAATCACCGGGTACTGCAGCTCATTTCTGACACGAGCGTGATGAGGCAGAGGTCTGCAAAGAAAACCATGATGTGACTACAGTTACACCTGAAGTCAAGCATTAACCATGGATCAAACATCTCAACAAAAAGTTAAAATAAAACCCGTGACTGTGAAAACCGTTCTGTGTCAATAAATTATAGTTTGGTGCTCCCCTGTAGTTCAGGTGGAGTCTTGGCAGAGCCATTCTCACCTTCCCTGAAATTGAAAATAAATACAAAATTAAAGCTGCTTTGGTTTTCTGGTTAGTGACTTCAGTAGAACTCAGTTGATCTACTCACCTGGTTTCCACATGGTCCTGAAGTTCAACATTCAAGGTTTCCGGTAGCAGGAAGCAGAGTGCTGCAGCGAGGAGGGGGATGGAGCCGTATATGACCATGGGTATGGAGGGATGGTAGACCTGCAGCAGTCGGATCAGAGGAGCCAGGATCCCAGCTATACGAGCGCACATGGAGTTCAGACCCACGCCGTTCTGCCTGTGGGTGTACACACAACGGCCGAGTGAGGATCTCCAGGGGAGCAAACATGGAGATGCAGTACAGTGGTGCTCGTCGGCCGTACCTTAGAACTGTGGGGTACAGTTCAGCCGTGTACACGAAGATGATGGAGAAACTGGCAGTGGAGGCAAACTTTCCAAGTACAGCGATGACAGTGGTCACCTCAGGAAGATCTACAGGGAAAGGAAGTATTTAACCTGAACATGAATCACCAGGAACACGTGACCTTCAGCACACGACGTCGTACCTGGTGGAACAGCAAGTATCACCAGACAAGAACAGCCTCCAATGACGAGCATCGACAGCAGACACTTCCTTCTCCCAAAGTATTGGATGAGAAAAAAGGAGCCCAGACGTGCAGGGATTTCTACGGCACCGAAGATGAACTGCGTCAGGTAGATGTCCAGACCGAAGTTTCCAACCAGACTCAGTCCGTAGTACATCAGACTGGTGGAGAACCTAACAGACCACAGACATCGGTTCAGTCAAATGGAAACAAATGGAAACAACAGCTGCAGGTTTGATTTCCATACCAGACGTAGCACATGACGAAGGCACGCCTCCTCAGATATGACACTTTGAAGATGTCCAACATGCTTCTCCTCTTGGTCATCTCCACAACCTCCAACTGGATTACAGTATTTTATGGATGCTTTTTATTTCAGAGTATGTTTACGTCTGATTCTGGCGACATCCAAACATCCTTCAAGTTTCTCACCTTATCTAATAACTCATCTGGGACCCTCCTCCTGTTCACCTTGGCCGCCCTCTGGATCTCCTTCGTGGCCTTCTTCTTCTTGCCCTGGGTGATGAGCCAGCGGGCCGACTCTGGAACAATCCTGGTGGACATTTTAGTGTTTAACTAAAACCTAAAATACTGCATTTTACTCTGTGAAGTCTGTGAGGACACTGACCAGTAGAGGACCGCCAGCAGGACGACCAGAGGACAGAAAAGTACCAGCTGCAGGATTCTCCAGTCCTGGATCAAGTAGGCCACACCAGACATGATCATCAGTCCAACTGGGAAGGTCATGTGGCAGAGAATCGTGCACAGAGCAAATCTGGCAGAGTCGGTCCATTCTCCGCCTGTGGACCAGAAGGAAACATGGAGTGTTTGTTTATTTATTCAACAAAATTAATTTTACAATGTCCTGCTTTTAATAATGAGTAGAAAAAAGCAATTATATTATATATATATAACCAGGTAGTATTTCTTAAAGTGATGTTTTGGCTCCCTCGAGTGGCTACAATAGTATATTTTATATAAATATATATGTATAACATACAGTACGTTCTTATGCTTTGCATAAGGAATGTTCTAGAATAATAAGATAAATACATTTAAACAAAGTAAATATGTTATTAGTTTGAAATGTCCAAACAGGCTTCCGTAGCAATTAAAGCCTTTGTTTGAAATAAAACTTGACAGTCAATATTTTTTCTTTTTAATAGTTAACATTTTCAGACCGGTTAAAAAACAAACAAACAAACCAGGTAGTATTTCTTAAAGTGATGCTTTGGCTCCCTCGAGTGGCTACAATAGTGTTAAAGACAAACCTAACTTCATGTGTACCTACCAACCACAAACACGTGAGTGATGATGCCAGAGTCTGCCATGCCACCTAAGAACTTGAAAACCATATAAACATAGATGTTGGGTGAAAAAGCACCAGCGACACCAGACACCAGGAGTTGAAGATGTGACCAGAGGACCACGAAGCGTCGACCAAACCTGATGATGGAACACACTTTAAAACAAAAACATTTTCAATATAATGAAGTTACAAAAAGAATGCGTGTCAATACCTGTCACCCACAGCTCCAAACACTAACGCCCCGACCAAGAGCCCGAGCATGGCGATGGACTGTGAAACCTCAATCAGACTGCTTCTGTCACACACCAGGTCGAACTGATGACCAGGAAGAAAAACTAATTAGGGAATGAGCTTTTATTGTGAGTAACTGTGAAATTATTTAGATTTAAATTTTGTAAATATCAACTTCACGAAAGTCACAGTGCCCTCTAGTGGCACAGAGTTGTCAGCAGCAGAGTCTCTTACCTCTGAAACGATGCTGGATGCACCTCTGCGTGTTTCAAACTCTAACCCATGCGTGCATTCTGTGGTTGTGTTAATCCCATAGGCCACTATAGTGTCCAGATCCACGTCCACGGGCGTGAACATCTCACAGCTCTGGTACTTTCCCTCATCGTTCACGGGGATGGTGAGATTTTTCTGTCTCTCCTCGGTTAGGTTGGGTCCTTTGGCCAAGATCCAGTCGGTGTTGCAGTGATGAGGGAAACTTCTGCCAGTGTAGACCTGCCCAATAATATCGAAGGCTATGAAAATGCTGGTGAGGCTCAAAACAACAATCAGTCGTTTCTGGAATAAACCAAACTCCCCGATCTCCTTCAGGATCTCCCCAAAGTTGCTCATGTTGACGTACCTCCTCAGAATGAAGCTCAGAGGGACAGAGAAGCAACGTCTAAACAGCAGCTGTCAGCTTACAGCAAGTCACCTGTAAGTTAATGTTTAGACAAAAAAAAAAACCAGTATTTCAGGAGATCTGATACTGTAGTATCCTCCAGGCTGAAAGTCCAACTTAGTGCTGTTTAAGGTGTTTACTGTCAAACCTCAGAATACGTAACTCTCCTGACATTATACACAAAAATAGAATGGCTCATGGAACGTTATCTCAGCACCAGGACGGCTCGCTTTACAGCAGCTACGTCCAAAGTCTGACACCTTCAAGACACAGTACGGTACATAAATGACCAGTGGTTTGTTCTTTTGAAAATAATTTCAGAAGTTTCAGAAGTAGACAGATTAGTGACAATGCTTTAATCCTTTAAATTACGTTGACTAAATAGTGGAACTCAAACACTGGTACCTGCACCACTGGTGGCACTGAGGGTCCATGGGGAAATCCCATTATCAGAGATTAAATATTTATTTAAACTGAAATTTATACATATATTTTCATCATGCCCCTCTCATCCTCCCCCCCCCAAACACTTCAGAGGCAGCAGATATGTTCATTCTTTATTGATTAAAAATAATCAAGAGGAACATGCTCTAAACTCCAAAAAAAAAAAAGAAAAAAAAGAGAACAATTGCTTGAGCTGAGAACTAAACTAACTTTTGCAGAGTTGGCAAATTTAGATATTTTACAGTTTTATTGCCTGAGCAAAAAAAAAAAAAAAAAAAAAAAAAAAGGTTTCTGTCGGCCACCTGTTGAGTTGTTCCAGCCTAAGCCTAGAGAGACTACACATCAGCAGTAGAGTGATGGAGTGAGAATGAGAACAAAGCCATGGGATTTTCAACTTCATCTGAAGCAGAGTTCACAACACACACACGCACACACACACACACGCACACAGACACACACATTCTTCTCTGAAGGCTCGTCATACACACTTTAACTGTCCTGGTCTGCTGCGCGCTACAGAATATGGCACCAAAATACTGCAGTAAGAGAACTCCATAGTCAGACGGGGACGGCTGAGTCTGTCCCTCTCCTCTGAGGAGACGACGCCGTCAACAAGTCAACGTCTTTTTGAATTT